GCGGGCTGGCGTTGTTGCTCAATATTTTCCACGTTTACGAGCAAGCAGTGTGGATGAAAACAGGAACTCTCGCATATATTCAGGCTACACTTCAACAGAGATATCCGCCCGTTCGAAAGGAACAGACCCTGCCCGATTATCTTGCGTCAGACGGAAGGTCTATAGTAGGAGAGTATTGTACCTTCCCGCTTGAAATCTTACGGAGTGTTGGCCCCTGGCGATCGACTCTCGTCAAAATCTTGGATTCTAGCAGGCAGTACTCTTGTCAATCGCAATCGTCCGTCTTGTGGGAGGCCGATGCTCTAGACGGTGTAAACAACACCAACTTACCGCGTACCTGGGCAAGAACGTTAAACGTAAGGGACTTGAAATTAAAAAGGGGGTTTTCAACGTGTCCCTCTAAGGATAAAGCGAGACTTTCATGTCCAAGCTCTAGGTTGCCGGTTGCCTCGTTTCATTGGTGGGTGAGTGGTGTCTTCCGCGCTTGCCCTGTAGCGTACTCTAATCCTTCCACAAAAGCACAGATCGACGCGGCGCAACTTCGCCGTTGCACCTGTGGTGTACCGCCATTACCCCGGTAGACCCCCCCCCCCCTCTACCACGCACCCACACTACAGATTAGCGTGCTCCCGTCAGGCTATGAAGAGAGAAGACGCCACCACGCGGACAGCTAACCCTAACATGCTTGATCTCCAAGGAGTTCACGTCACGTCGCCGGTATCGTATTGCATACCCTCTGGTGCATAACTCCCCCACAGAGAGCCGACTACTCTGGAGCCCACCAAGCTCGCGCCTCGTCTGGCGAGTGTCTTCGATAAACACGCGGAGCACTCAATCCCGTAATTCCGAGGAAAGGGATGCAATTGGCGTAGACGTCGGGGAGATGGCACCGGGGTAAGCAAAAGCAAGGAAATATATATAGCGCTTGTCACCCACAGGGGAGCAACCCTTCATGCTGCTCGGGGATTAATCCAACACAGGTACCTGTGTAGTGCTCAGCCGCGAATCAAACAGGAGACCCTCCATCTATGGATAGAGCTGGAGTTGCTGTGTTACTCTCTGTTGATTGGTCCCATGCCTACATTACGCCGGTCGCCCGGGTAGTCTAGTGGGTAACCTCGTAGCATGCTGAGGGCCAGGTCATGGGTACGAGTCCCGACAGAGTGAATTTTTTCCCACTAATTAAATTATGGTCTCCGTTGGAAGCGATGCGCTGCAAAGCGCGTTGTTAGTAAACTTGATCGACTTCATAAGTCGCGAGGGAAGGGATTGCTGTGCCCTTCTCGCGATGGAAATTTCTGAGGCAGGAACCGCAGGAGGGGTTCCAATCCTCCCCTGTGTGTGACCCCGGTTGGGTCGTCTAGCTAGTAGAAGTGGAGGATAGGAGCCAGAGGGGCAGACAACAGAGTCCAATGATGGGAAAATAAAAAAAAGTGCTGCAGGACAAGCACGATTGACCCGGTTGACAGGCGTGATGGTTAAGTCGTTTATTTGGCAGCCCCTTGTGCAAAAGCGACAGGAGAGAGTGCATCACAAACATCAAGGCACGCCAGCAAACACGTAAGTATTTTCACCGGCGGAAGACGCATCCGCAATAGAAAATATGCGTCGAGGTATACCCCGAAAGTCTTTCGTACGTGGAACGGCCACTCGTTGCGTTACTTCCATCACTTCTCAAGCAACACATAAGTGCTACCGCCGCAGCAACGTTCCTGAAAAATGATTGCATACAGCTCACCTCACGACCATACTCAACATGCGTTACGTTCAAAACAAGATCCCGGCTTGATTGAATTCGATTTCCGCTCCAGTAACGGGTGCAATCTCACCGATCCCCAAACCTCTTTTTGACCTGCCGTAAAAGAGGTATTTAGTCTACATGTTATGGAAATGTTAGCACATAACCAGTATGAATCAATGTTCAGTAGCACTGCTCTTGTATATCGTAGATCTCATATGTGTCGGTTCGAATGTCTGTTCGAATGTAACGTATAAATATGTGTATGTAGCAAGTTTGGTGAGGCAGATATAGCCGATGTAGACTACTGTTTATTGAAACGGTCGAATTTGCCAGAGGCGTTATTGTTCCTGTATTTCGGGGTATCAGGTTGAGAAGAGTCCTTTTGGGATGGTCACTTTATCGGAGAGTTCACGTGCAGGAGAAGGCTCGCTGGACAGCGTGGAATAGCAGATTTATACAACAGCAGTACGTGAACTCAGAGAGGGATAGCAAGGATTGGCCAGATTGGGAGGCCAAGAAGTTGCGTTCTTTCCCGCCCACCCACCCTTTTTCTTTCGAAGGTGAGGGAACGGAAGGAATGCAATGGGTAGAGTAAATGGTAGAGTACCATTTGGGAACTTGGTCGTCTGAGATGTTCCGTACAGTAGGAAGAGTTCCCCACACCGGTGGAATGAGAAACCCCGGGCTGTTTTCTTTGGGAAGAGAGAGAGACAGTAGAATGAATGGACAGAGACACGGTAGGACAGGCGCAGAGGGCGTCTACAGGAATCGTGTTCTGTCGGCGTGGTTTCTCTCTCTTCCCCGCGTGTGAAGAGAAAACATTAATGCAAAAAGGCAATTCGAAAGAAAAACAATAAACGGAGGAATTACTACATGTAAATGTGCGTAGCTTTTTCTCTCATGTTATGTATGGGGCAACGGTGTGTGCAGGGTAGCACCACTCCTACGAACGATTGTGGTTCACGCGGGATGTGAGCCAGTTGTTTTCATTCAGTCGGAATCCAAGTTGCACAAACCGTACACCAAGCACAGCCAAACTCGCATCCAAACCCATGACCACTAAATACCTGCATGGAAAGTACCAGTCTCGGGTGCCTTTGTGGTAAGATCCCAGCCAGCAACAGCGAAACCTACACCTGTGATACGCCCACAGCACAAAAAAGGAAATCTCCGCTACTGCCGTGGTCGACCGAGTTACTAGCGATGTTTCACACCTTCGTCTACCGTACGAGGCGGAGAGACGGCAACGGTCGGGGAGATGTCACCGGCGTGTGTGTATACAACGCCGCCGTAGAACCAGAGTAAGGTCGTTGTATGTCGTTGATTGGGCATCTCAACCATCGGAGAGATCACTTGTATGAGCTACGCTGTAGTCCTCTTCCCTCGACTATAGCACAGCCCGCACAGCAGCAACAGGTTCCGCTTTCCCACGAGATCCACCAGCAATCGTGCGAGTCACGGTGGGGAGGTACTACACTGTTTTCTTGTCGCGCTGAGCCTCCGTGGTGTAGAAACAGTTCACAACGTTTTCGTCTTTTCCTAGTCTAGACGTTTCTACATTCCGTATTCCCATGTACATACCTACCCCAACCAACACCAAATGACCAAGACACAACCGATTGGTGTAAGGTCAGTAAATGGTGGATAGTGCTACATAGTCTTGTGCGTGCACAGAAGACGTGGGAAGGTATACGCGCCTGTGACAAGTCGACACACCGATTGCCATTGAGCACGGCAGCCAGATGTGCACGCGTTGGACTGTTCGTTCTCGCGACACGAGCCGCTGGTATATCGACAGGTCCGCTTCAGAAGATCGGCTGCTTGACTCTACAAAAAAGACGATTGATCGACAATGCTTGCCACAATACTCAGATAGGAGACCACTTCAAACGAATCGCACACGAAACCAACCACCCAAGCACAACTCCAACCCTTTCGTACTATTTTTTTGGCAGTGCAGGTGTATCAATAGGAATAGGATGCTCTCAGGGGTTATTATTATATAATAATGCAAAAATGGATGTCGACGGACACCTGCCTTCCAAGTTACATCACATTGATTGTCTTTCGGCCCACAATGTTTGCGTCCGCTCGATTTTCAGGAGTCCCAGGTCCAGCCCACTTCCTCCGAAGGCGAGGAAGTTTCCAGGCGACCGCTGGTGGTGACACTTGTTGTGAGTGTTCCACGGGGCAGCATTCGTTTTTTGCTTGGCCAGCCAACCAGCTTCATGTGGAATCATGATTCCGTAGGTGTAGCCTAGGACTGGGTTTCAAAGTAACGATGAAGAATGGAGACAGCAGAGAAACGCCCGCAAGCAGACACTTGTGCCGCCGCCACAGCCGTCGCTGCCGCTGCTGTGGCTGCCTCTTTGTGCCTACGCGTTTTTCCCTCCCAACGGCCAAGAGCGCCAAAGTTTGGCGTAGGTGCATGGGGAACGTCTTTGTGCAGTACACTGCTAACGAAGAAGGAGAATGAATCTGGTCACCATCTCAAGATTGCAATGTATCACATGTGGCACGACTGAGGTTTCTCCGTGTGGTTCTTGTTGGCTGGACATTTCTTCGATCGCCGTTGAGCCCGCTCCGTCATGCGTGACACCGCTCGGCTCTGGTCGGAGATATCGAGCCCCGCAGCATCTTTTGTGTCTCTCACTCTTTCAAGAGCGCAGAAATATTGTCCATTGTAGCCGGCGGGCCGGCGCGATGCAAGGCAGTTCTGACTGATGGTGACGACAGCCGGGGTGAAGTGTGGCATGTTTATAACGCACACATGCAAACACATTACAGAAGGCAGAGATCCGAAACTGATATGTAGCAGCACAAGTGTAATAATTCGACAAGTGAAACGGCCCCACCCACTAGGTGCATGAAATCGAACAGCCTCCTGCCTTACCCTTCCACCTCGATCACACGCAGGGTCTCTTCGCTTGGGTATTGAGCGTGATCGCTGCTGCAGATGACGACTGGTTCATCGGGAGTACCCTCAGGCCAGGCAGAGCGGCAACGACAGCGGCTTGTCTCACCGTCCGTGAGGACGACGGACACTGGTACACATGGTGTGCTCTGTGTAAGTATCGTGTTACGAACTAAACGGTTGATGGAGAAAAAAAACATTTGTTTGTGCGCGCGATAGATATCTACCTGGCGAAGGTTTATCCAGCATGAAGAAACAACCTACCTCAAATGGTGGCGTTCGTGCAGGGTGGCCCTAGCTTGAACGCAATCGGCCTGGATAGAGCTACAGGCACAAACCAGGCCCATGATATGGAAAGGCACGCCTGGTTTGGCTATGGAATAACGCCAGAGGCACATGGCTGCCCCACCCGAATTTCAGGCGAACCTCTCGAGCTCTTGATAATATTTACCAAGCGCGCTTGTCTATATATCGAAAAAAACGAAGTACACATCCTACCACTGTTTATCATCCCCCAAATACGCAGATCGCACCTTCACCGCGACGCAGTTCATCGCCACTGTGCTATGCTCCTTTACTACGCTGCTGTTGGCGGTTCCCGCGGGTTCGAGGAGGTTTGCAAGGCGCATGGGGATCGTTATGAAGGTGCTGCTAGCGTGCTCTGTTTTCTTCCAACTGGTGGCGGCCTGCCTGGCGGCGAGTGTCTATGTTCACCTGAAGATCCACATTCCATACCACGACGGTAGGGTATGTAGCCAAGGTTTTGGTGTTTTTTCCCCGTCCCATCTTCAGCCCCAATGACTAATCTATTGTCATAGGCGAAGCGCGCCGTACAAAGCATGCGGTCTTCTGGGGTTGAGAGTTGTGGAAGAGCTGAGTGCTAGCGGTACAGAAAAGTCCTGACAACTGTTGTAGATAGATAGGCTCGGCTCGGACCTTCGTGGCGACAAACGCCTGGTGACAAAAAGCTACACCCCCTGGGCCAAAATGCAAAGCTTGCGATTTGTCATCAACACGGCAGACATCTGTGCGTGTCGCCTCACCAACTCCAACCGCATACACAGGTAGCGGCTTTCCTGCGATGCTACTGGGGCCGACATTCGCCCTCGCTTGGGGGTCAACCTTGATAGCTCTCGTGGAGATTTCCCTCTTGCGTATCTCCCATCCGGAATCGAGAGGAACCGGGCCTCATCAAGAACCACCTTTCCATCTTCGCAACATCTATAATCGGAACCATCCGAAGAGCCGGTTTTGGGTGTTGTTCGGGATCGGCTCCCTTATCGTGGCCTTCGACGTGACGACTCTGGTGAACTACGTTGACGCTTCGGGCCTTACGAGTGAGTGCGGAATTGTTCGAGGGAGTGCGAAGACCGGACAAGTCTTACCCGTAAGCCGGCTCTCGGACGCACAGTTAATATTTCGCTATGATTCAACCATCTCACAATGTCTACGACGCATATAGGATTTTCTGGAATTGAGTTTCTGCATCTCTCGGGACCGAGGGCAGGAGAACCCGGGGATACATCCCTACTCCGCACCCGTACACTCGACAAACAAGACCTATCGGCCATCCAGATTGATGCAGGAGCCTGAACCCACACAAAGCAACGTATTCTCAACCCCACCCCACCCCCTGTTCAAAGTGGACCCGCATGTGCCAACGATTTGGTCTCCATGGGGCGGCCGGGCCATCGACGCTTTTCACTTATATCCAACAGGGATGCCACACGAGATGGAAGGCGACTTTGTCGATGGCCACGGTCGCGGGAGACTCTCTTGCGAGTCTAGTGTACAAGGCGGTTGAGGCCGATGCAATCATCAACGCCTATCATGTAATATTGTTTCCGACGTTGGTGCTTCAGCGTTGAGTGGGAGCGCAATTAACAACCACATGTAAATTGTAAATCACACTGCGTTGTATCCAAGAAACGCCTTTTCCCCAGCCCTTTCTAGGGCGTGAGATCGTTCGTATTCATACGCACTTACCTGCAAACGCCCCCTGTCCTTCGTAATACTGCTCCCCGCGGGCTAAAGCGACTTCCGTTGCCTCCCCTTGTCGGTCCTTCTCGTACGCCAAAACCCCATAATCGCTAGGCCCGGTCTTGCAAAGCATTCCCTTGATCTTCTGCGTCTCGAGCGTCATCTTTCTCGTCTGGTCCGCTTCCCACAAGCAAACGACCAAGGGAAAGTGCTTCATTCTCGGCCTGGGAGTTGTGGCATCATTGTTTTACCTCCAAACGCGCTTGAAAACGGGCATGCTGGGATGGGCCAACACTGACGAAGAAGGTGCGTCGGAACGCGAGGGAGGTCCTTGGTGTGCATGCACAACCTAGATTTGCGCTCGGTGGGCAACCTGTTCATGGTTTGTTCCCCGACCCCACGTACCGTGTGGATACTTCGAGGATATTGCAAAATGCCAGTTTGTTTTAGCGCTCTCCTCACTTTACGCGCTGGAAGTACGAGAGCCTGGTCCGGTTAGAACCCGCGTGCTCCGTCCCGGCTTTGTAGGGATGCAAGGTCAATGGTCAAACGACTACGGCATGGACGACTATGAGTACCCCGCCCCCCCCCCCTCACTTCACGTGCGACATGCATGCATTGCATTCATGACGAAGATTCCACCTCGACTTGACGCACTGCTGTCTCTCTTCCTGTACAAGTGCACGATGGCATGCGGGACTTGTGGCTGTGGCCGCTGGTGTTGAACCTCTTCTACCTCGGTGGACTCGTCTGTATCCTGGTCATCGATGTTGTTGCCTTCTGCAAGTATCATCAAAGTGAACAGGATCTTCCTCGGCACCACGAACAATCCCTGCAACAACGAGGAGACCGTTTCCCGCATTGGCGCAGCGCCACCACGCTTGCAGGGGCAACCACTCGACCCCCAATGGGGGTTCATGCGGCTGCGGCTGCTGCTTCTCCTCCTGGAACCAGCGGTGAACGGACGACGAGCAGACTTAGTCTTGGAGGCGATTTGGCGCTTTTTACCACCGCGGGTGGTCGTGAGCAGCTTGGGTCTTCCATTATTTGGTCGGCGGCACCCGTTGGACAGCACGTTGAGGCCGCTCCCGTTTCAGCATCGGTATCCGTTACAAGGGCGACCGTCTCGCCGGGACTGCCAGCGCAGTGACGCCAATCGCCGAAAGGGGACCGTGAAAGCACCGCGTTATTAAATAGAAAAGCGACCGTTCTTCTTTGTACTAAGTATTTCGTACAGGAGTAAACTATGTTCCTGTAGCAGAAATAATGTGGTTTAGTTGTTCAGCGAATTGACGGGGGAGTATTCATCAGTCTTGCTCGGGTATTTCCAAGGTCGAGCGTGTGACCATGCAACCCAATCGAGGCTCAGATTTTGGAATTCAGCAGAACAGAAAAAACACGCGTCCACCAAAAGCACGATCCTGTAATATGGCAAATGTACCCTTAGCAATAGCCTATTGTCCTTGTTCGTTGAAGCTTCAAAAGGGAGTGGCCGTGCTGTCTGTACATACAATGGTCTAGACTACATGCAGCAGTACACAGGTGGCCAGTGGGCACGGTTACGGGGGGGTTAACGTGACATGTAACCCCTAGGCGTTGTGCAACCTGCGTAACCCGGTCGGGCGCACCTTTACCAACCTCCAAGGTTAGGCAGGGTTCCGAAACCCCGGTCCAAACCCACGTTAAGGGAAAATTGTATCCGTGCTTGGTTGCAGGCGATGTTGTCCAAGCCCGAGAATGTCCATGCCTTGCCGCGAAAACTATGTACCAGCCGGTGTCCACAGAGTACACGACACACCGATTTATCGGACATTCGCGGCATATATAAAAAAAAAAAACTTCAAGAGCGCCGGCATTTGTAAGACCGATTTTTTAAAAGTTGATTACCGCTGGACACGCAAAAATAAAAACACTACACCCCCCCAATCTCCGCACGCCGCTGATCTGCAACTAACTGCCCACCGTTCACCCCGCGAGTAGCCCCTCACCCCTTCGTGAGTGCTCATTATATCTTGCAGCTGTCGCGTTTTGGGGGCTCTGTTCTTACACCACAAAGAAATGCGGGTTCGTTCTTGTTCTTAACACCACGTCGGGCCTGAGCACGCACGTGTGTTGTTGTAATTATTAATTTGTCGACAATTTTTTTGATTTTGACTTTTTTTCGAGGCCGCATTTCTTAACTGCCAAGTTCTTAATTAAGTGCGAGCGCCATCTTCATTTTCTGATGATCATGATGTAGTGCCGGAAGCAACATAGACAGACATGGGCCCACTCTATTTGATATAGATATTGTTGCGTAGAAACACGCACGGCAACGATTGGGGGGCAAAGCAAAGACCGAGAAAAAGAGAGATAAGAGTAGGCGATGATATACTACCTACACACGCTGCCTCTCTCGTAAAAGTCAATACGACAACGTACGTCTGTCTCCGTAAAAATATATAACAATCGTGGTCGAATGTAGTATTATTACATAATAATATGATCTCTGCTGAAAACANCACTCTATTTGATATAGATATTGTTGCGTAGAAACACGCACGGCAACGATTGGGGGGCAAAGCAAAGACCGAGAAAAAGAGAGATAAGAGTAGGCGATGATATACTACCTACACACGCTGCCTCTCTCGTAAAAGTCAATACGACAACGTACGTCTGTCTCCGTAAAAATATATAACAATCGTGGTCGAATGTAGTATTATTACATAATAATATGATCTCTGCTGAAAACAATTGCGCGCTCAGCATTGTTGAAAAATTCTATACTTCTTATGCTATATGTTGATGCTGCTGTGGAACATAAAAACTTAGGTGAACAAAAACTTGCTATTGAACGATTCGTAATGGAGGACTTTACTCGGAGTTTCTGCTTTCACAGCGTGGGGGGGACCGCATAGTACAAGTGTGCTCCTATCGGCCGCGTGGGTGGTGTTGCCACCATTGTTTCCGCCCCTACTATAAAAGTATAGAATTGGTGCAATAGTCATAGGCTTCAACATGTAGCGTAACGGTCAACCGTTAGATTGATCAGGCCCAAGTTGCTGATCCTATCCACCACATGTTATGTTTTCTTCAACGTTCAATTCGACGTTGAGTAATGCCAAGCGAGGAATTGCGTAACTATAACACGAATAAATACGGGTTGAATACAATGTAGCAATCAAGGGGAAGACTCACACATAGTTTTTTCTTTTCTCCTCCTTCATTCACACCAATCCGCGCACGACCGCTTTCATAACCCCGTACGATATGCTCGCTCGGCCTGTAACCCCCCCAACGTTATCCCATGTAATAACCCCTGCCTGGTTGGCCGGAGGTTAAACAACGCCCCTGTACAACCGTGCCCACTGGCCACCTGTCTGTGTAGGTTAGCCTTTTCTTACCCGGGGCAGCAGGCGCTGTACAATATTTTTATTTCTCCCCGTTTTAGAGCATGCCGGGTGGATAAAAACAAATAAAAAGCGTTCATTGTTAGCACAGCAGTCTACATCAACTTCGAACAATCCCAAACCCATAGACTACAGCAGTAGATCCCCTTCGATTCTCGTCCTTCCAGGGCTTGAATCTTTTTGGGCATGCATAGTCTACCGCAGTAGTGCCCCACTGGCAGTTCGGCGGAATGCTCCTAAAATCGGAGGCCATCACCCCAGCATCAGTGACGACGGCAAAAAAGTTGCAGCAGAGCAAGGAGTTATATACGTAGGAGCCCACCAAAGCCGACCTCGGGCGTATGAAGAAAACACTTCCTGGACCGATGCAAATGGATTCTCGCACAGGCGTTGCTGGGGGCCCCGTATGGCTGCTTTCTTCGTTTTTTCCGACCAAAAAACTCCCCATCTGCGCGCCCCCAAAACACGCTTAGCCATAGGGTTTGACAGAAACCTTGCAATAGCTCCCGCTGTAGTGCTGATCCGAATTTTTACCAGGGTGTTTTCGGCACCTAACACCCCAATAAGCACACCCTCCGAGTATCGTGCGATTCGAGCAACTCTACGAGGTAGTAACTTTGGCGTGAAGCTCCGTGCGGGGGTGTGGTATCTTCCGTTGTCGGGTGCACCGCTCCATCTTGGTCCGCTGGAGAGAACGTCCTGAACGCCGTCCGTGGGCCAGAAGCTGGATCTCTTGGCTGCAGGTGGGTGGGAGACATGGAGGCAGTACTAGGGGAGTAGGTGTCAGAGTGATTTCAACGCCAGGGGCTTCCAGGGTCGTGGATTTGTGCTGTTCGGTGGCGTCCGCACCCTTCATGTGTCCGCGCGCAACAGCACCCTGACACCCTCGCTGCTGCTGTTGTATGGGTCGCAACTTTGGGCCGGGCACCCCGAGTGCTGATATGTGACAAGCACGAGAGTTATTCCTATCCAACATGCTCACAGCAGAACTTTGTGCGCCAACAACGCCGATCAAAGTAGCATGAATTTTTTGAATTTGAATTATTTTCAACGGTCGTTGGTACGCTGCTGGCACCTGTGTAGCCGTACAGCAGTAGCACATAGAGCAATTGCGACGCACGCCCCAGTCTAC